CGAGGGAAAAACAATGGATACTTGAATGGATTATGAAGTAAGGAAATGCCAGTCCCAGAATGGGCCTTCTAATCAAGTAGTTCTATTGATTCATGAATGGTGATAATTGAATTCAAACAGGAAAATCCGGGCTTTCTGTGGCTGCAAAACAGAAGGACAAAAGGGGCAATACTGGGTGAAGTTTTTGATGAATGATTGAATGGGGCAACAGGGCGGAAAGGGGGATGCTTTTCTAAGGTGCCCCCCATCTCCAATTAGACTTCAGTCTAAGCTTTGGATCAGGGCTGCTATTCTTCACCAGGTACTTCATATTCTCTATTATGCTATATCAAGTAACTTCTCTTGGCCAGAAGTTACCTGCCACTAGCAGAACAGATCTGCTTTTCTGTTGAGGTTGATGCACAATAAAATAGGTTGGTGGGGGAGTTATAATTGTGCCAGTAGTGTCAAAATAGTGATTGCGAATACAAAGCAGTGACCTAGATTTGTAGTTGTTCTATACTCAGGTTCTGCTACTGAGTACAATTCAAAGTGCTGGCTTTAGCCTATAAAGCCCTAAATCGGTGTTTCTCAGCCTGGGGGTCGGGACCCCTGAGGGGGTCATGAGGGGGTATCGGAGGGGTCACCAAAGAACATCAAAAAACACAGTATTTTCTATTGGTGTATGAAATTTAGCCCAATTCTCTCATTGTTGGAGTTCAGAATGCTCTTTGATTGTAGGTGAACTATAAATCCCAGCAACTACAACTCCCAAATGTCAAGGTCTATTTTCTCTAACCTCCTCCGCTATTCACATTTGGGCTTGTTGACTATTCGTGCCAAGTTTGGTCCAGATCCATCATTGTATGAGTTCACAGCGCTCTCTGGATGTAGGTGAACTACAACTCCAAAACTCAAGGTCAATGCCTATCAAATCCTTCCAGTATTTACTGTTGGCCATAGGAGTTCTGTGTGCCAAGACTGGTTCAATTCAGTCGTTGGTGGAGTTCGGAATGCTCTTTGATTGTATGTGAACTATAAATCTCAGCAACTACAACTCCCAAATGACAGCATCAATCAATCCCACTAGAATACAAATTTGGATGTATCAGGCATTTGTGCCAAATTTGGTCCAGTGAATGAAAATATATCAGATACTTACACGATGATTCATAACAGCAGCAAAATTACAATTGTGAAGTAGCAACAAAAATAATGTTATGGCTGGGGTTCACCACAACATCAGAGAACTGTATTAAGGGGTCGTGCCATTAGGGAGGTTGAGAACCACTGCCCTAAATGGTTCTGGCCCAGCCTACCTATCCTTATATGATCCACCTTGGAGATTAAGAACTTCTGGGGAGGGCCTGCCCTTGGTCCCACCTCCCTCGCAAATGCGACTGGTGGGGACGAGAGCCAGGGCCTTGTCATTGGTGGCCCCTCAGATATGGAACTCCCTCCCCAGTGAGATTAGAGCAGCCCCCCTCCGTCCTGACTTTCAGGAAGAAAGTAAAAATGTGGTTATGTGACCAGGCTTTTGGACAGCAATGTTTTCAAGACATAATCTGCGGCGGTAGAGGCCGCAAAGAAATATATCATTGCAGCCAACATTGCATCCACAAGGAACTGTCCAGCCGAGCGGTTCTGAACGATCAGAGGTTTGTTAAATCCTGTCCCACAAGATGGGATCCCTTACCATTCGGCAGACCATTCGGGCCCCACTCAATTGACTACCGTATATTCCGGCATATAAGGCGACTGGGTGTATAAGACGACCCCCAACTTTTCCAGTTAAAATATAGAGTTAAGACGACTCCCATGCATAAGACTACACCCACGTATAAGACGACCCCTGACTTTTGAGAAGATTTTCTTGGGTTAAAAAGTAGTCTTATACGCCAGAATATACTGTAATTTTCAGCCAGTTTCAATCTCCCCTTTTTGGACAAAGTCTTGAAATGTGCGACTTCAGGTGTTCTTGAATGAAATGGGTTATCTAGATCCATCGCAGTCTGTCTTCAGACCTGGTAATTTATTTATTCATTTATTTATTTACGACATTTATATGCCGCCCTTCTCACCCCGAAGGGGACTCAGAGCGGCTTACAAGTAACAAATAAATACAATATATTAGATTATTATCATAGCACAATATTAATATTATATATTACATTGTACTATAACAATATACTGTAATATTGTTAGTAATATTACATTTAATATAAAATATATAAATATAATATATTACTAGTAGTAGTATTAGATGGTATTACATTATAATATTATCAATATTCTATGTATATACAATAATATTATATTATATT